TTTTTTTTTTTTGGTACGGAGAATTGAACCCATGACCTTGTGCTTGCCAGGCAGGCAGGCACCATGTGGCTGAGCTACATCCCTGGCCTTAGTCTATGCCCTCTGACAAAATTCCAAGCTTTCCTTGTAGGGATAAATCATCACTTGGTTTTCTACTGCTGTCTAATTTGCTGCTGCTGATATATACCTAGTCAGAGTACAGCTCAATGCATTGCAGAACATTATAGACACGGAACCATCATATAGTAGGGATCTAGAACTTTCTACCTCCCACTCCCACGCCCCTTTGCAATCAATCCTCTGACCCCTCCCTGGCCCCTGGGGCAACCTCTGAACTACTTCCTCTTGCTGAGGTGTAGATTTCCTTTGTCTAGAATATCACAAATGGAATTATACAACAGGTGTGCTTTGGGGTGAGGTTCACACATCTTGTGTGACCAGTGGTGTCATGGTCTGGACTTACAATGGGCCCTGAAAGCCAGATGACGGAGGAGGTGATCCGACTGAAAGGGCAGTGAACTTAACAGTAGAGTCATCCAGGTGAAGGGGGTCGATCCTGCCAATGACATCTTGTTGCTGGTCCCCTCCTCTCTGGGGCTTTCCCTCTCTGCTTCCTGGCCAGCATCCCCCCAGCACAGACTTCCACCCCATGCTACTGCCCTGTCACTGTGACCAGCTGACCAGGGACTAAACTCCCTGGCTGACCCTCTGCTCCCTTAGTGGATTTCAGGTGTTGGCGCCTCCAGGCTGGACTTGGAAAACAGTGCTGGCAATGCAGCCCTTTGCCCCCTAGAGTCTGGGGTGGATTTGCCTAGCGCTGCTCAAGAAATGGGCCAGATATCAGAAAAGCTATAGGGCAGGGCTACCAGCTCTGGGCTTCGAGCCTCCGCTAAGGCTCGATGGCCAAGACCTGCAGCCTCATCGCGCCCAGGTTCCTCTGTCTGTGAAAGCCATAGGTTAATTGGGGTCGCAGATGTTTTTAGCTGGCAACTGGGCCCATTGCTCCCTGTCTTCCTTCTGGTCCAGGACAGGAGAGTACGTGGGGGAGAACCAAAAGCGAGCTCAGGTTAGAGTCGCAGCTGCACGGTCTTTCCCAAGCTCTGCTTACAGCCTGGGGTACTGCGGACAAGCCCCGCCCCCCTGGACCTCCGCTGCCCGGAATTTAAACTGAGCGTGGCCTGGCCGGGTGCAGGGCCAGCCTCTGTCCAGCTGGTGGCCCGCAGGGGACTCGGGGAGCTGGATTTCCGGGGGAGACTGCAGTGCCCTTCCCAAGACGCGCACCTTCTCAGTGGCCCACCCTGTTTCTAATTCACTGGGCTCGGCATCCACTCTCACCAGCCTGCAGAGCGGACTGCAGTTCGGAAAAGAGCAACACGCTCAGTTCTCTGTCCCATCCCACTGCGGTAGTCAGGAACCCAGAGACACTCGATGGGGACCCGCAGGACTGGAGACAGGAGAGGAGGTGGGCGTGGCCTTTGCCCTGTAAGGGCAGAGGCATTTCGATCCTTTCACCAAGTACTTACTGAGCCTTGGCTCTGTGCCAGGCCCAGTGCTAGGGACCGAGCAGACCCAGGGTGGCCAGCGTGGAGATCCCTGGGATACTCTGGCAGAAAATAAATACAGTCACAGATATTATTGCACATGGCAATTGCTGATGTGGAAAAACATCGGATGAGGAGGAAGACTAGGAAAGATCTTTTCAGTGGGGATTAGAGTTGGCTGCCATAGACCCTGGCACCGCAGCACAGGTTCGCAGGAAGTCACTTTCCTCTCAAAATGACAAGCCTGGAGGTCATAGCTGCAGTGTTGGTTGAGCAGCTCAGGGTGGAAGTCTCTATTGTGCCTCATGTTTGTTCCCAAGGTGGCTGCTTGAGTGTCAGCCTTCACATTTATATCCCAGACCAAAAGCACAAAAGGACATAGCTTAGTTCTCCATCCCCAGTGTGAGTCTCCTCCCCGAAAGCCACAAGAATGCTGCTCATGTCTCACTGAAGAGAGACTTGGTCTTATGGCTACTGCTGGCTGGAAAAGAAACCACGAAATGCATAAATGAGGTGGGCACTTTCAGTGAAACAAATCTGCTATAGAAAATGATAAGGGGGGGTCGGGGTGATGGCTCAGTGGAATAAGCGCTTCCCTGGCAAGTGCAAGGGCCTGAGTTCAATCCCCGGTTCCACCAAAAGAAAAAAGAAAATGAGAAGGGCCAGGTGTATAGGTTTCCTACTGCTGCTGTAACAGTCACACACTGAGTGGCTTAAAACAACAAACCGATGCACTCACAGTTCTGGGGGACAAAGCCCAGACCAGAAGCACAGGGCGGCCTCCGTGTTGGCAGGCCCCGCCCCCTTGCTGCGGCTGCTTCCCGTAGGGGCTGGCACCTCACAACTCCTGGCAGCACTGCCACAGCGTCCAGGGCAGCATCTCCAGGCCCAGGTGGCTTTGTCCTCGCACTGCGTCTCCCCTGTACACCCTGCCTCCGCCCGTCTCCCACTCAGCAGCCTATGTGCACGGTGTTTAGGGTACAGCCTGGAAATCTAGGTTTCCCCATGTGGCGGCGCATGACTTAATCACGCCTTCGTAGTCAGGGCTTACAGGGGAAAATGTATAATACAGGACACATGATGTATAGGGTTGTTTCATAGTACTCACCCAAAGAGTCAAATGCAAAAGAGTACGGGGCATCTGGCCACCATACTAGAGATCCAGCTGAGGGGCTGGATCCCACGGCAGTGGCCTCCATGAGGCCAACTGGAGGCCTAGAGCCCGCGACAGTGTCTCATGCAGGCCTGTTTAGGGATCTGCGCTGGGAAGGCCCAAAGGTCAGTGGTGGAAGCTGGAAAGTCTGCGCCAGTGGGATGAAAGGTCTGTACCAGCAGCAGGCTGGGGATTCTGAACCGGAGCCAGGAAGCCACACTGAGCACCCCGAAAGGCACCACAGTCATCCTC